AATAATCTTCAAATGACTCGACCGTTGTGCATTAAATGCACCTAAATACATTAAATAATCTTCAAATGACTCGACCGTTGTGCATTAAATGCACCCTCACAGCCGGTTGCAAAGCCAGAGCCGGCTTTGCATCTTTTCTCCACGTGCGCCAAATAACGGTCTTCCAATTTTTGCCTGTAGAGCCAGCTGCAGCTTCTAGAGCCGGCTCTTTGCACTTCCATTTCACCAGAGCTGGCTGCACTTTACCAAAGCCGACTCTCTGCACATTGAATCCTTTTGGTCTATTTTTAGTGCCATCCAAGTTTACTTGCAATCTTTTAGCAACTTAATTACACACTTAAATAAACCAATTAGTCACTCAAATGTGTTTTGTAATCATCAAAATCATAGGTACAAAAATCTCCCCCTTTTTGATGATGACAAAACACTTTGAGAATGAATTAATGAAAGCACATATATACTTCAATATTAACTAGAATTTCAGCACAAGGTACTCTAGAAAATGACTTTAAATTCAACATATTCTCTCCCCCCTTTTTGTCATTCATCAAAAAGCACATAATCAACAAACTCCCCCTTAATTCATGCACATCAATTTTTAAAGCATTTAAGCATGATAACTATTAAGAAAAGTAATTTAAGCACAAAATGCTCCCCCTTACTTCATGCTATCAACATTTAAAGCATCAAGAATATGTAATGAATATAATCATCAATCATTATCAATATAGCACCATAGACAACAAAAGTCATGAATACAATCATCAACCAATAAACTCCCCCTCAATAAGAGCATATAATCATCAAAATCATAGACAATCAATACCAAAAGTCATGAATTGTAGGAGACCCGGCTCTAGTCCTGGAGCCGACTTAATTCTAGAGAGAGAAGCCGAATTTTCAAAAAGCTGCAGGAGAGCCGGCTCTATTCTTGGAGCCGACTTAACTCTAGAGAGAGAAGACTCTCGGGTTTTTGGGTTGAGCCGGCTGTGAAGAAGGTTGAGCCGGCTCTACTGGCCTTGATTGGAACAAGTAAAAGGTTTGGGGCTGT